GTGGCAAATTCAGTGTTCCACCAAGGCCAATTTATCAGCCAGGGAACTGTTCAATCAGATAATGCATGGAGTTCCTACTGAAGTAAAGGAGTACTCTGCCATGCAGGTATCCATCTACTGTGATGTTTACAGAGGAATGTTCTTTAAGATAGCCAACAGTTTACTTTGCAAAGAAATTTGCATAAACATGTCCATACATGCTGTGCACAAGCACTACATTTCAGACACTCATGAATCAGGAAACTGTTGAGAATAGGCCTCACATTGCTACATTTTTCACTCAGAATGATCTCAAGAATCACTTCCTGAAGTGATGACATAAAGCCAAGAGACACCCTGTATACTTTCCAGATGTGCTCTTTGCAATTCTACACACCTTTCTGGCTTTCATGTTCAGAAATAAATCCACTATTGAAAAGCCACTCACATTAAACTTATTTTACTGCATCTCAGTAAGAAATTATTCTTCCTTACAGCTCATTACATATCTGCTACAATGAAATATGTTTTAAATAACAGATGTAAATCACTGGGCAGACAACTTTAAGTGTAGCCATCAAACACCAAATTTCATTAAAATCTGCTGAATAGTTTTGGAGGTGAAAATGGCAGGTGGACACACAGACCTGAACTCCCAAATACATATTTTTTTTATGAGCTCTGTGCAAAGGATGCATAAATATGCATAATATTAGGCCACTTCATTTACGCTCGTGTGAAATCTCAAAGCATTACACACCAGCTGTACAATCACTAGTACTCCAGTCTTACAATACTGTTCAGTGTTGAAATGTTCTGTGGTGATTTGCATGTCTTGTGTGTTCATGGAGTACTTTCCAAAAGGTCTTCCTCATCACTTGTTGTTTCATGAGCACATATGAAGACACATCAGCATATCCATCACATGCACAGATCACAGCCATTACTTCTGGAAGGCACTGTAACTTTCCATCAGCCAACTCACTGACAGTTGAAAGCCGACAGAGAAATACTGAATATATTCAGAGGTTCAATTACCATCATACAAATTCACAATTCTGAACATTTATGTAGCTCTGAAAAGATACCTTCTGTACACATCATGCAATGCTTGTCAAAAATATACACAAATGTTGCTCCATGTTTAAACATCTTTGCAGAATAAATATGTAGCAGTGTCTGTTGATATTGTAGAAGACTGGTTCAGTTATGTCATGAAAATTCTTAAAACTATTCAAGGTAAATGGAGGAAAATGAATTCCAAATGTTCCATTCACTTAATCTATCTTGCATTAGAGAGCCAGATTGGGATATTTTGAATTGAATGCAAACCACAAAACACCTTGCAGAATGCTCTTCAGTTAAAAGATTATTAAATAGCCACCTGATTGAATATAATTTACAGCTATACCAAAAAACATAAAGAATTTGGACATAATATCCCAAATGCTTATTGTCCTTTTCAAGGCATGAATATACACATTAAACCAAACTACTTGATTTCCTCATACCCATTTTAGGCACAGTAAATATGTATACTAAGGTCTTTAAATTAAAGAATGAATGCCATTTATATATTACTGTACATAAGGTTATCAACATGACTTTATGTACAGGCAGATTTCTGCCTTCTAGCATTAAAAAACGGAAATATGCAGTGCTATCAAAACGTTCCCGAAATTTGAATTTTGCGCGTGAATGGTTATGAGTACATCAAAATATCGCTAGGTTTCTCCCCACACACCCTTCTTGAATCAGTGTGGCTAGTGGCGTTGAGTTGAGTTGTTGGGTTTATTGTTGATGAACGTATTTCCATTGTTGTGTTTCCATGAGTTTGCGGTTTTGCGATGGCCGACCTGAGAGAGCGGCGTGTCTGCATAAAGTTTTGTTTTAAACTTGGGAAAACCACTGCAGAAACACACCAAATGTTGAAGCAAGCTTTTGGTGACAACAGTTTAGGCCAGACACAAACTTATGACTGGTATAAGCATTTCAAAAATGGCCAAACATCGACTGATGATGATGAACGTTCGGGACGGCCGTCAACTGCCACCACACCAGAAAATGTCGCGAAAGTTAGGGATCTGATTTGGCAAGATCGTAGACTGACCATCCAAGACCTCTGTTACACCTTGGGACTAATTTATGGTACATGTCAACGAATTTTGTCAGAGGAACTGAACATGAGGAGGACTGTGGCAAAGTTTGTGCCACAACTGCTGCAAAACAAACAGAAGCAGCATCGCTTGGAAGTCTGTAGGAACTTCAACAACAGCTTCAAGAGGATCCAAACTTTCTTTTGAAGGTTGTCTCTGGTGACAAAAGTTGGGTTTATGGCTACGACCCTGAAAGTAAGCAGCAATCATCGCAATGGAAAACCTTTCTTCACCTTGGCCAAAAAAAAGCTCGACAAGTCAAGATCAACAATAATATATGTTGATCTGTTTTCTTGATACTAATGGGATTGTTCACAAGGCGTTCGTCCCTCCTGGTCAGACAGTCAATAAAGAGTTCTATCACGTTTAAGGGAGGACATGAGGAGAAAATGTACAGAGAAGTGGCGCATGAACGACTGGGTACTCCACCATGACAATGCATGACCGCATATGGCTTACATTGTGCAAGAATTTTTGGCTAAAAACAAGATGGCAGTTGTTCCCCACCCACCATACTCGCCAGACTAGCTCAATGCAACTTCTTTCTCTTCCCCAAGATGAAAATCAAGTTGAAGGGGCGAAGATTTGATACAGTTGAGGATACATATAATCCCGTGTCTCAAGGATGAAGAATCTATTAAGTGATATGTTACATGAATAACTCAATATGGACTCTGATGATGAGATGAATTTGGGAAATGAAGTAGAAAGTGTGAGTGAGGAATCGAGCAACACATCTGGGGAAAGTGAGTGTGAGAGTGAAGCAACTGGTGTGCGCATTGATGGGTGGAAAGACGTGACAATGGATGACAAGAAACCCAAGGCATACATTTTTACTGACATTTCAGGGCCTCAATTGAACCTTCTATCAGGTGCAGAGCCCAAATGGATTATTTTTAATGATGAGTTTTTGAACAACAGTCTTATAGATACAAAGAGGTAAGTGAGACACAAAATTTTGGAATATCAGCTTAGTCTAAGGTCCATTTGGAGGCCACGCCATAGCTCAAGCGGTTAGTCACTGGCTTCCCACCGCGGTGGCCCGGGTTCGATCCCGGGTATGGTTAAGTGGGATTTGTGGTGGACAAAGTGGCACTGGGGCAGGTTTTCTCTGAGTACGTTGGTTTCCCCTGCCAATCTTCATTCCACCAATTGCTCAACAATCACCCTCACCTATCATCTGGGGCTGGTACAATAGGCCAGAAGTGGCTGCAGTTCAAGGGACTTCGTCCCACCCCACTAGCAATAAATAAAAAAAAAGTCCATTTGGAGTATGTGGTCTGATGTGTCAGTTCCTGAAGTGAAGGCGTTTTTAGGTCTAACGATAAATATGGGCCTAATCCCAGTACCAGACACAAAGTTCTACTGGTCTAGTGAGAGGAAAACACAGATAAAATATTTTTGTGCCATAATGTCCAGAGATCGCTTTTTACAGATATTTTGGATGATGCATGTTGGGAAATGATACCACTGAATAAAGCAATTTGGCTGTCAAAAAGACAAGAAAGTACATGGGGTGACAGAACATATATAGTTTTAGAAAAAAATTGTGCCAGGTAAAAACATTGAAATAGACAAATCAACAGTTGGGTTCAAGTGCAAAATAATTTTCAAAACTTATAACCCCAAAATACCAACGAAGTGGGAATCAGATTATTTGTATTGTATTTGCTGACAGTGACACTCGTTATGTTCACAGTATAGTTCCAAATTATGGAAAACATAAAGGTGACGTGTGTAACTTGCCATACTCTGAAAAACCGTTCATTTCAAGAACAGCTCTTTCTTTGATAGACAGACTATGACTCAGTGTGTCTGGTATTGAAGACTACCACTATTTCACTGACAGATATTATAGCAGGGTAAAGTTGACCCAAGAATTGTACAATCGAAAATGTAAGTACACATTTTGCTTTTTAAATTTATGCCCTTGCTGCATCAACTTCTAAGGCAAAATACATCACTTAGTTGCTCATCAGGCATTTAAAAACCCCTCTCATCCTAGCTGCAGATATTTTTCCAAATGTGCTGACCGGAAGGGGTTAACAAAGTTTCCCTCTACTGAAGACAGAGATAAAGCCAACTTCTAACATGGCATGCATCTCTTTTATTCAGGAATGGATAATGTCCAAAGAAAATACTCCCATGACAGTATGAAGTAAACATATTTCTTCAAACAGCCATCAATAGATTTAGCAATGATGCTATATAACCTATACAGTTCACCAAGCATCTTTAAATAAACAGCAAAACAATTTATCTTCAACAAATTTAGGAAGCCAGCATTTATCTGTCACCTAAGAAGCTCTTTCTGGAAAGAGTTAAAAAAACTATGACACAGTTCCAATTCTGATAGTTTTACTAGTACATATGTATTTCATTCTTGCCTTCTTGTTAAATAACCTTAACTATGAAATAAAATCTGACTTTCTCTCCATGACTACCTACAGATTTGGAAGTAGCAAAAAACGTAAAAAAAGTGTTGAATATTCAAGACATAACTCAACCACAATAGCCAAGACAGAAACACGTATTTCTGAAGTGTTGTTGGCCATGCTGCATTGAGGAAGATGATGGCCATGCTGCACAGATGAAGAGTTGTCACCATGCTGTACAGTGCTGTCTAAACTGTACAGTGCTTGTTCACAGATCAATGTGAACCTTACCTGAAGGATACGATCAACATTGGGCATGTCATCATACATGATGGTATTGAAGATTCCAGTGAAGTACCCACGCACAATATTACTGACGATCAAAACCATCGTTGTGTACATACCGATGATTCTGACAATACAATTAACAAGGCAGTATTAATATATCAGAACATGTATTTTTGTAGCAACTATTTCATAGTACAGTTACCTGTAGGATACGATCCACATTTGGCAAGTCTGTAAACATGATCTTCTCCAACAAACCAGTCATGATGCTCCGGATGATTTTAGAAAACAGAAGGACCAGGCCGAAGTATAAACCTATTATTCTAAGATAAACAAACAAAAATATATCTAAAATTTAAATTATTAAAATCATAGAAATACGGAGGTCTTAACTTTCTTTTTAAAAAGCTTTTCCAAGAAAAATTTCTATAAAATTATTAATATAGGATATGAAACACTGAGTTCCAGAAAGAACTCACGTGGATTACTTCTCTGCTAACAGACTTCCAGTCCTTCAAATCTTGTTTTGTTAATGCCATATTTAGGCAAAGTTAAGCTTATAATCTAAGAATACAATGCAATTTAACTCGTGTACTGGCATACTTGACACATCCATATGAGTACAGAACTGAATCCTGAACATAATGTGCGTTAAAAGCAATTCTAACCCCTGGTATTTTAATAAGCCTTTGTGACATTCTTCACAGATGAAAATTTCATTACATCTTGCAGTGTTAAACTGTCAAATAGCAGTTCAACAGTAAGATAATACTAATTACAAATTTTGCCTCACTTGAAAGTCATTTTTTTTTTTAATTTGCATAGTGGCATGTTGGCCACTGAATGGGTACCTGCCCCGGGTGATTATGACGACGGAAAATTTTTGGTGGAAAAAAGTCTGGCAAGGAAAACCGAACTACACGGAGAAAGCCTGCCCTAGTGCCACTTTCTCTATCACAAATCCCACTTGACCAGACCTGGGCTCAAACCTGAGCTGCCGTGGTGGGAAGCCTGGGACTAACTAACCTCTTGAGCAATGGTGCTGCCTTCATTTGAAAGTAAACAACATTCACTTTACAAGTCAATGCAGTTTTACACTATTTTATAATGAAGAGAATTTGAAATTCATATAATTTTTAGTTAAAAATATCATTTAATCCTATGGCTCAGGTAGCACACATAGCAAAAATATCTGTCAACACAACTTTGTTTTTCAAATTGGTGTTTATCGAAACATTGCCACACTATATGTTTCAATCTTCCGACCATCATTAGGTGTTTTTAAATAATAATAATAATAAATTGTGTCATTAATTGTTACTAAACTGTATGCGCAACAGATCCATTGCTGTTGGGCTTTTCATTTAATTACAAACAATACATATAAGTATATAGACACATACAAATACTCAATGTTTTATCCATATAAATATTTATTGTCAACTGGTATAATTCTTGAAATACATTATTTCTTAGTTTTAAGTTTTGTTTTATTTACTAACATGGAGGTTATTTTGGGTGGGATTTGGTGGGTAAACTGTGACCAAATAAATGATATTGTAGCACATAGACCTGTTGCTGGGCAGAGACCTCAAAAAGGACAACCAGTACAGCCATTGCTATGTAACAGCAGTATAAAGAAACACCCATTTCTATGCAATGATTGAGATACTGTTGGGCTATAATGATGGAACTGGTATTTTCTATGTGGTCCATGCCAACATGTTATAAGCAGGACAGTTTCATGGAATGAGTTAATTGTTGGTAGGAGTTGTCAGCAGTTAAGCTGAGTGAAGTGATGTGAAGTAGCTGGTTGGTGAGTGAGAGAGTTTAGTTGTCAGTTCAGCTGATAGTCAGCCTGTGAAGGGGACACCAGGAGGTTGGTGACAAATGACCACCAGCCTGGGAACAGTTAGCTGAGGGTTGCCAGTTCAGTGGACTTCTGTACAGGACGATGTGAAGAAAAGAGTTATTTGAAAGAGTGAGGCTGTGAAAAGAACATTTTATGCGTGATATCTGGAGTGTGTAATTGAGTGAGACTGTTATAGTTCCTGTGTTAACACTTTGCGGACTGCACACTCTTTAAAAGGTTTCTCGCTTTTAAACATGGCAGACCATTCGCGTGTTAAACAGGCTTTTAGAACACGATAAGTTGCAGCACACTATACATTGCTCTGGCCCCACCTACATTGCACGCAACCGCCTGCAGATGCGTGATAAGACTCTGGAATGTTTAGTTAGCAGTCAGTAACTTGACCTCGCTGTTTACTTAACCGACTATAAAGGAAAATGCTTTGCCTTCTTCAAGCTGTGTGTATCAGCCAGTAGCTAGTGGGGAGAATGGATCAAGGGCAGATTCTCCCCAATGAACTAGCTGACCTGCCTTGTGAGATGCGTAGTAATGGATTAATTGTCATTCAGACAGCGACAGTGACGGGGGACAACAAAGAATTGTGGCCACAGACAGTAAAAGTGACAGTAGCTCCGAGGATAATGCGGGTAATAACATTGCGCATAGTAACATTGCGGGGACAGCAAAAAATCTAAAAAAAATCTAAACCCTGATTCAAAATTGAAATACAAAGCATTTCTGATGAATGTGGCAAAGGCCCGGGCTACAGTCCAGATGGTGGCGGCAGAACCAGGGTCACAAAGACTTAGTACGACTGGTGGGAAAGCCAGAAGGAAGGAGACCACTGTGAAAACCAAGGCATAGGTGGGTGGACAATATTAACACTTTGCGGACCGCGCACCCTTTAAAAGGTTTTTTTGCTTTTAAACATGGCGGACCATTTGCGTGTTAACAGGCTTTTAGAACACAATAAGATGCAACACACCATACATCGCTCTGGCGCCACCTACATTGCACGCAACCACCTGCAGATGTATGATAAGACTCTGGAATGTTTAGTTAGCAGTCAGTAACTTGACCTCGCTGTTTACTTAACTGACTATAAAGGAAAATGCTTTGCCTTCTTCAAGCTGTGTGTATCAGCCAGTAGCTAGTGGGGAGAATGGATCAAGGACAAATTCTCCTCCGATGACCTAGCTGACCTGCCTTGTGAGACACATAGTAATGGACTGTCATTCAGATAGCGACAGTGACGGGGGACAACAAAGAATTGTGGCCACAGACAGTAAAAGTGACAGTAGCTCCGACGATAATGCGGGTAATAACATTGTGGGGACAGCAAAAAATCTAAACCCTGATTCAAAATTGAAATACAAAGCATTTCTGATAAATGTGGCAAAGGCCTGGACTACAGTCCAGATGGTGGCAGCAAAACCAGGGTCACACAAAGACTTAGTATGATGGGGCCCATCAACTCCCACCCCACAAAGGCCTCATGTGGACTCCCCAGGGCGAATCTTGAGTGATATGCGAAAAAATACCCTCGTGAAAATTGTGAAGAGTGACCATTCCAAGGGAAAGAATACTCCTAGGCAATTATGTGTTAGCACAGTTCACAAAAAAAGGAGTATGTCTACATTTGCAAGTTCTGTGTAATGCCACTTCACAAAGAGGAAAGTTTCCAGAAATATCACACCCTCAAGCACTTCTAGGAGTATTGGTAAGTGTTCTCCAAAAATTTTAGTTCAAAAAATTAATTAGGAGATTTTATATTAATTTTTTAAGTGAACAGTGCACAAGTTAGGGTAGTATGTTTAAAAATGCCGGTCCCCAGGGTGATTTAAATATTTAAATCACCGGGTCTGCGAAGTGTTAAATACGTTGCCATGAAATGGCTAGTGGAGACTGTAATAGACTGAGGACACTATTCTGCGTGCGTCAGAGATCTGTAAAGTGTAGTTCCGAGTGGTGTATATAAGTGGTCAATAAATCCAATATCCAATCCATACCCTGTCTATAGTCACACCCTAAATACGTGACAATATCACCTTGTGATCATTAGTGGGCAAGGATGCATATGAAATAAAATACAACTTCTGAAATATATTAAAGCACAAAAATTATCACTGACAAATTCTAAAAATTGGTTACATCTGAAAGAATGCTTTAATGCTTTGCTAAAAGTTCTTTCAAGTAAAGAACTGCACATACTCGTATATAGAATATGTATCTCAAAATGTTATGTAAATTTATATGTACAATGGGAAGTCATAATGTTTTAATTATCACCATGAGAAAATCATAATTCCAAAATATCATTCTATACAGGAGACAGCCCATTTCCTGAGCTTGCTGAACAGTCAAATTTGCTCATGCCATGTGGACAGAGGGAGCCACCGGAAGGGGCAGAAACAAAATGGCGATGCCAGTTGAGAAAGTGGAGGCTTGTGCTGTGTATTAGGAAGGTGTACCATCATATGACACAGTGGTCAGGTGGAAGAGGCGTTTTTTTTTTTGCGGACAGACAAACTTCAAAGATGATTCCCTATGTGGAAGACCATCTCTCATTGAGGAACTGGGAATTGTGGCACAGGTGGAAGCTTTGATCCTATCCGATTGGCGCATAACTATCAAAGCTATTGCTGATGAGGTCCAAATGGGTTGGTTTTCAACATCATCCATGACGAGTTAACACATGACAGTGGTCACTGCGTGTTGGGTGCCACGATTGTTGATGCCAGTTCAAAAACAGCAAAGGATGGATGTGGCAAAGAAACTTTTGCAGTTGTGTCCAGGCGAAAAGGTGGAATTTTTCGACCGCCTGATCATGATGGATGAATGTTGGGTCTATCATTATGACCCTGAAACAAAGGAAATGAGCAAGCAGTGGAAATGTGCAGACTCGCCGCCAAAGAAGGCCAAATCCCAGCCGTCGTCAGGAAAGGTAATGTTGAGTGTGTTCTGGGATCAGCGGGGTGTCATCATGACCAACTATGTGCAGAAGGACGTCACCATCATTGGCAACTACTACCAGAACCTTCTGAGAAAATTACGGGAGGAAATCAAGAAAAAGCAACATGGAATGCTGGGAAAAGGTGTACAACTTCTTCACCATGACACACCAGCTCATGCTACTACACTTGCTGCCAGTTTGGGACATTAAATTCTCCCCCATCCACCACATTCACCAGACCTGGCACTGAGCAACTTCTTCCTCTTTCCACAGCTAAAGAAGCCACTTCATGGTAAGCGATTCCAAGACGATGATGACATCATTTCTGCAGTGGAGAACTTCCTAAATAGTCATATTGAGACCTTCTATGATCAAGATATCCAGCAGCTAATGCATCACTGGGGAGAATGTGTGACCTTGCAGGGGGCATATGTAGAGAAGGACTATCTCACATACAGTTTCTTGCACCTGTGTCTCTGTTTCTTCTGGGTGATAATTAAAGTTTTATGACTTCCCCATGTATATCTTCAATTCCCTATAATATAAGATAACGATCCAAATAAGTAAGGATTTGATGAAGTGAGAAAGAATCTGAATGAATTTTCAGAAGTAATAATATGACAGGCCAGGCTTCAAACAAAATTTTCAAGAGCTGATCCATAGTTACAATTTAAGAGAGAGGAAAAATAGAATTATGTTTTCAGAACATTGATGGAACTACAGTTCTTAGATGGTCATTCAAACTATTTAGCACAAAAACTGCCTCCAATGCATGTGCCTCATGGGTTTCACCTTTATACCAGACTGAATGTATTAAATTTAAGCAAAAACTGTTTGAAGTGCAACATGGGTGAATGGTGAACACAACTTACCCTTCTCCAGAAATGAAGCTCAGAGTTTTGGGGAAGGATTTATCATTGAAAGTGTACATAACCAGTTTACTGCAGTGGTCATCATCTATTTTCTTTAAGAAATTTTCATAATTTTCATCGTTGCAGGTTTCTTCAAGAGACCACCAACTCTGGCTGCTGGATCTGTTGTCTCCATTGTACTGCAAACTAAGATTTCTATATGCTGCATCTAGAGGAGAAGCTGTAATGTGATACACGAATATGACAAAGGATAGAGCACAGAAAAAAAAATCAGAAAAAGAAAACCAAGTACTTAATTCACAACTCATTCTTTTTCCCCTGTTTTCTCATATCTTCTTTCATGACAGTGATTGTGAACTGCCATCAAATGCCCTCCTACCTCTGAATTGATTTATATATTACCACCTGATAATGCTTAATGAACTGACTGAAGGGAATAATTGTTACAAAACATGCCATAAAAAAGAAAGTCCTTTATAACACCAGCATACCAAATGCCCAGACAGCAGAGAAAAATTATGCAATAACCAAGTTCCAAGAAATTGCTCTTTAAGATAGATCGACAATCCTCCAAAGTGCAAAATTAACTTTCTGGGCTATCATTTTGGTGACTTCAGTATCAAACTTCATTTTCCAATTTAATGTGTCTTACATTATATCACAATAATCATGTGGACGCCTGTACATTATACAGACACACTGATCCCATTAAGCAGCTAGTTTAAATTAGATAAACAAATGTTACTGCACAAGGGTATTAAAATATCACATCATAATTCTTCTACTTCAACTATTAAAGATTACGCTTTCTGACATGTTCTGATTAAGAGTTATCTCCTGAAGTAGTGTTTTTAAAAATCTGACAGGACTCCTCAGACAAGAAATCAGCCCCTACGTATAAAGACTACCATCATATAACACAGAAATCTCTATTCTTTGCATCCTGTTATGTATAATGGAATGAAAGTATTCTGCTGACCACTGACACACAAAACAATTTCAGGAAATTATCACAATATATAAACAAGAAAATGTAAGGAACACTATAAATACCTGTAGCAACATAATTAAAAAATCATGGAATGGGAATATGTAAACATGAGTCCTAGTTCATGACATGTACACAGCTCAGTAAAACTACAAAAGAATCATACACCACTCCATCCAATCACTAAACTGCAAAGACAGACCTGGCTACAAATTAGCAAAACTTACAGCTACGTTACTAAAAGGCATAACACAACTATCCAGTGCACATAACATCCAGAACTCCACCAACCTCACCCACAATCTAAAGGACATAAACATCAATGAGAACATGAAACTACGTTCATTTGACATCTTAAACATTACACAAATATATCCCTATTAGAAGTAACAAATATAATCAAAACCATCATAAACAGTGACAAGCTAAAGAGCCACAAAGGATAAACAAGAACTAATAACAATACTAAATACCATCTTAGAACAAAACTGCTTACAATTTGATAACCAATGTTACAAACCTAATGACACTTCAGCAATGGGAACCCCATTTCAACAATTCTAGTTGGAATATTTATCCAACATGTAGAACACAAGAAAGCATCAACAACCCAAAGGAAAACCACATTACAGATTACTTTCGATATGTAGATGATATATTAATTATTTATAACATACACACTACAAATGTTGATGATACCCTATCATACTTAAATTCAGTACATCTACATTCCCAAACACAATACACCATTGAAAAATAGGTACTTAACGAACTAAATTAACTGGACACAGTCATCATATACTACTGTAAATAATTAATATTAGATATATTCAAAAACCCCACCATTACAGACTTAATCATATACAACTCATGCCATCCATAAGAACATTAGAAATATACAATTAATTACTTAATCATATAAATACATACCTAATCATAAACGTAAGTAAAAATAACCAATTACAAATATAAGAACAATTTATGACAGACAATAAACAATGGACGTTAATAAGAACAATACTAAATAACAACCACAATTCCCCACAATCTACACAAAATTAAAACAAAATCCCAACAATGAAAATTCACCATAAAACCTGAAACAAAAATGGCTACCTTTACCTAATTTGGCAGAGAAACTAGAGCCATCACAGAATTATTAGAACATATACATATAAAAATAATAACTCAGAACCACAAACAGAATAAAAAAATATATAAATATAAAAAAGTCCAAACTCCCAGTAATTCTGTGAAAATATAAACAAACTTCTAAAACCAAAAAAGCAAATAACGGCCATGTTTAGTAAAAAATGGAATCTATCAATTAAAGTATACTAAGTGTCCACTGAAATATGTTGGGCAAGCTGAATGAACATTTAAAATATGGTTCAACAAACACATGGGGCATGTTTGATTCCCTATGAAGTTGGTGGATGTTTCAACTGACCTAATTCTTCCAGCGGCACTATGGCCCTGGGGTCAGCTCAGCCTCTAACAAAAATGAGCACAGGCATACCTCATTTTATTGCACTTCACTGATACTGTGTTCTTTACAAACTGAAGGATTGTGTCAACCCTGCGTCAAGCAAATCTATCAGGGCCATTTTTCTAACAGCATATGTTCACTTCGTGTCTCTGTGTTACATTTTGATGATTCTCACAACATTTCAAACTTTTTCATCATTATTATTATTATTATTATATTCGTGATGGTGAACTATAATCAGTGATCTTTCATGTTAGTACTGTAATTGTTTTGAGGCACCATGAATGGCGTCCATTTAAGACAGTGAACTTAATTGATAAAATGTTGTGTGTGTTCTGGCTGCTCTACCAACCAGCTGTTTGCCCATCTCTCTCCCTCTCCCTGGGCTGAATTACTGCAATCTCATGATAGAACTTTAATGGATGAGGAAAGAAAGTGGTTTCATGAAATGGAATCTACTCCAGCTGAAGATGCTGTGAAAATTGTTAATGACAACAAAGTATTTAGAATATTACATAAACTTAGCTGACAAAGCAGCAGCAGGGTTTCAGAGGACTGACTCCAATTTTGAAAGAAGTTCTATTGTGGGTAAAATGCATTCAGATTCACATATGGAGCTCCCTTCACTTCCACATGGAAGAAGGGACACCTAGCACTCCAAGACTTTGCAGACTTCCCCAGTCGAGAAACATCTGGAGGAGACTCCTGCTTCCATTCTTGCTGGTCACAAGAAGATAGCTGACTTTTCAGAAGACAATAGTGAACATCAGCCTGGGAAAAGCAAGAGCAGGGAAAATCTTCCCACCACCAAAGATCTGCCACAGATGCAGCTGACCTCAGCAACATAAATGAAGAATTTCTTCGTTCCCAGCTAGGCAACCATCTCAGATGATGCTGCATCAGCAAACCCTGAACTGATGGAATCTGAGGTCTCAAATGTGACAGGCCTTTCCCTCCTCCTCATCTTAATTTCCTTGCAAAAGGAAATAAAACCCCTTCTGCATGATCAGTTTCCACAGCAGACCACAAGGGCTGGGATCTGCATCATTACCCATAGCCATGACAGAATACAAGGCCATGATATCCTATCTCACCAAACCTAACTTACAATTGTGTCAACAGTAAAACATCAACCAAAATATCACCCTCACCTTTCAGGAACTGTGCTTTAATGTCATAAGCATTCAGAAAATGACAGCTAAATGTCTCTCATCTGAGGGATCTATAAATACTACCTCCCTGCTCATCTTCTTAGTAGATCCTAACATGCTGCCATAAGCCACAATTTTCAACCTCCACTCCCTGGAATTGAAGGAAGTTTTTTATAGCTGAATTTTTGTAATTAATTAATTATCTCACTCTGCTGACTGTAAGTAACAAGAGCAGGATGTGTCCTGCTGGTTGGAAACACTTCCCTACACCATGTGATTGCTGCAAGTAGCCTATCCAATAAGTAAATAAATAAACAAAACATACATAACAGAAGTTAGAAAAACAGTAAGAAATTAAACTAATGAACAGAATATATGCAAAACAGTAAACTTATGAAAATAAGTATGTATAAGTACATAAATACACAACATAAAAAACTGCCAGAGAAGAAAATTTACTAGTATTTAATAATAATCAACATTATTTGGATACCTGAGTTTGTAGTACATTTCCAATGAAAGTGCTGGTGTATAAAGTCAAAGATGGAGATATTGTTTTAACCTCAACAGAGAACATTCACTTTTTGGCATCAAACAAATGAACACTTCATACATGGTTCTTCTGTATTCAAGCCTTGACAGTATATCATTTCAAATTTTAATTAAAAGAAATTCATAGCAGCTGCATAATTAAAACTAGAGACTTACCAAGAGGTGCCATGAGCTGTGTGATAGGAGTAGCCATTCCACGGTTAGAAACTTTGAGGAATTTGGGAAAAATGTTAGGAATTAATGTTGAAACATGTGTCCCATTCAACATCTTTATGAGATTCTGTCTTTGTGGGTTGGATTTTCCATCTACATCAGCCTCCAGCTCATAGACATGGGAGCTACTAGCCTCCCCTGTTGTCTTTGGATTTGGGTTCAAACGTGACACATGCCATGTAAACCTAATTACAATCTGTTTACCTGGAAGAACACAAAATTTAGTTTTATATATATGACAATCGCAAAACATTCTTGCAGCTGTTATGTGAATAAGAACATAGCTGAAGAGTATTGAAAAACAAGATGCTGAAGAGAATATCTGAAACTAAGGAGGGTGGAGAAAGCTACAAAATGAAGAGCTTGATAATTTGTATTTTCCATCAAAAAATATTATGATGATGAAATAAAGAGAAGAGATGGCATATAAGCATGCATGAGAGAGATGAGAAATGCAAACAAAATTATAGTTAAAAAACATGAAGGCAAAGGACCATTTGTGAAATCTAGGAGCAGAAAGAAGGGTAATATTAAAATGTATCTCAGCCAAACAGGATGTAATGATATGTACTGGATTCATATGGCTCAGGAGAGGCAGCAGTGGTGGGCCTTTGTGATGATAGCAATGAAATTTGGGTTCTAAAACAGATAAGGAATTTAATGATTGAGTGACTACCAGCTTCTCAGGCACTGTGTTCCATGGAGTTAGCTAGTGTTAAGTGCTTGTTTCAAATTTTGCCAGCCTGGATGAAGATTGAACAAGATCACCTTGCAAGAATCTTACCAGAAACATATTTAAGGCAGATGCAATATTCATAATTAAAATAACATACTTCCATCAGAGTTTTCTGCCTTTGTGAGCATTACCAGCTATCTTATTTTTCTGGCAAGGCACCCATACTACTTACTGGACTGGAGGTCTGCAATTAAGTAGTCTCTATCAGGTTGAGAGATGCCCCACACCATCCTTGAAGAATTGCTCATTCTAATTACTGCAATGTCTGTGTAGTCATAATTGGATAAGAAAGTTAAGGCAGCTTTATTTTTCATGTACGCATTCTGCATTTTATTCCAAGACTGTTCACTCATCCTGCAATAAAATCAGTACAAACTGATGTCTCATACTTGCATGATGATAAGTTAACATATGAGGAACATACAGTGGCCATAGAATTCAGTATGGATTTCAAAACACTGTAGATGCCTGGTATTATGTACTTTCACAGAGTTCATTTTATCAGAGGTAAGGCCTTAGGATAGCAAGTGGAGAACTCTGCATTAGATGTAGCAGTACTTGAATGTGAGATCATGTGCAGCAGTGTACTGATACGTACTGCAACACCCACAATATGGCAGGACCCTGTGATTAGGTAGCCTCCAGCCATGGCCTGGTCCCCTAGTCTAGTAGTGGGGTAATGATGTTCATTTAGACCATAAGAAAGACAAATTACTTAATCCTGTGTCAGCATAAGCTGATATTAGAGTGGAAATCCTTTATTAACACATGTGTTCCTATATACAAGTTTGGTTGTTTAAAGGTACCATGTCCAAACAACTGTATAGCAGTTTGTTAGTACCACACTACATTTTCACAAGGTCTATATTTTTTATTTCTGAAAGTGCTTTGACCATGGAGTTTCTTTCTTTGTCACTAGATCGTGTTTGCAGCTACTCTGAACATTAATTTGCAGATCATTTGGTACTACCGCTCTTGATGACTTAAATAAGTGGTTTAGGAGTAATTTGATGTATTTAAATTTTGACAAAACACATCTTTTACAATTTCGGACTAAAAATAGTCAGAAGCTTGATTTAAACATTACACTTGGAGATAAGCATATCACTGATCTTACTAATATCAAGTTTCTAGGATTGATTATTGATGAAAAGTTGTCATGGAAGGGGCACATTGAACATGTTTTAAAAAAGTTAAGTTCCGCTTGTTATGCTATCAGGATTGTCACGCCCCTTATGACGGAGAATACTCTAAGAATGATATATTTTGCATATGTTCATTCATTATTATCTTATGGTATTTTATTATGGGGTAATTCACCACATAGTCTTAGTGTTTTTAAGATGCAAAAACGAATACTCCGTATTATGACTAAGACTAGATGCAGAGACTCTTGTAGACAACTTTTTAAAGATTGGGAAATTTTACCATTTTATTCTCAATATATATTTTCTTTGATGATATTTGTTGTGAGAAATAAGCATCTTTATAAAACTAATCAAGAAATTCATGGTCTAAATACTAGGCACAATACTGACCTTCATTTTCCATCTGCTAGATTAACAATATATAATGAAGGGACATATGCTATTGGAATGAGGATATTTAACCATCTTCCTATAAATATAAAATCATTATCATATAAAATTGAATTGTTTAAACCAGCATTAAAGAGATATCTTTGCTCGTGGTCATTTTATTCATTAGAGGAGTTTTTTAATCAAAATAATTTGTAAATACTGATTGGATGTAAATGGGATTAACTGTATGTTATATTTTTTAATTTTAATTATGTTTATTACTTAGTATTATGTGATATTGTTTTTATGATTAAAGTTTAATGATTGTGACAAATGAACTTGGAGTAGTAAGAAGTAAAAGACTGTATTTCTAACAGTGTATGAATCTATGTTGTTATGATATGGCTTGATTTAATGTTACACCATGTATCTTTTTATGTTTTGTATGAGATTGTATAAGTTTGACTAGCTCTATATCCTATGGGTGCTAAAGCCCCTGTACAGGATTTGTGGAGTTATTTAATAACAATAAACAATAAACTAATTTCTTTACTGTGAATTATTGCCAAATGGCAGTGTATTACTAAAAATGGCAGGTCTGGAGGGGGGCCAGCCACAGATGTGCTTGGAGTGAAAATCTTTAAGGAATTAAACTTGCAAAATGCTCAGGGCTTTCACAGGGGCACACATCATTTCCTGTAGGACTTCTCCATTTTCTACTACATCCTCAAACAAGTCCCAGTGAATGAAACTAATACAAATACTCTTATGTATGCTGTTCTAATTTACGAGGCTCCGCTACAATAATCTTGACAAACCTGGTTTAACATCATTCTCACATAATGTCCTGAGTAATAAATGCAGTGACTTGAATCATTCACTACCTGAAGATAGTGTTTTCTGGGATGTGACATTTGTAGTCTGGTAGACTGGCACCAATGTTTTGGAGAAAGATGCACCCTGAAGATGGAGGCAGAATGTTCCTCTGAAATACTGGCACCTATTTACCGAGGTATACAGGGTCACATCCCACATGACAGTCACTGTTGTGAGGAGCACAAATCTTACACTTACTTGTCAATAGTGTTGACAGTGTTGTTCTGTGCTGACATTTCATAGATGGGCTGGTAGTTACCAATATCCATAGTAACAGTGACATCATAAGGCAAGTTAGGTTGCCCAACAGTACTGCCTAGCGCAAATATAACCAATGGGAACCAGATAACAGCAATGATAACGAACAGCCCACCACCTCCCATAAAGTACTTGACAAGAGGTTTTTTCTTTTCCCCCCGAGGCTGCGGATACTCAGATTCCATGCGCCTTGCACATTTATGCTGAAATATGTTGGCAAAAATGTCCTCCATCTTTAGCCAGTCCCACACTGTCATCGATGTATCAGTCCACATCCAATCCATTAGTGCACGAAGCTCAAATAAGAAAGGCACAGCCATGAACCTGTAATAACAGTGTTTGCTTCACTCCACAGACCTGAAGACACCAGGTTAAACATTAAGGCCAGACTTACTGCAATGTTTTAGCCAGGTCTCTAAATTACTGCAAGGGCTTTTGGTTGGCATTCTTTAAGTCAATGACAACCACACATTTCTGTGTCAGAAATTACTATCTATTCATCTGTAATATTTTTCATAATGAATTAAGCATCATGCCATGAAGATGTACAAAGTAGTGGAATTACAGTACACTACACCTAATACCACACACATTACAACTTGAATACAGATATCCACCATGCATTAAATAATATTACATTGCAATTTTTAATTCAAACTTTGTAACTTGCATTATGTATCCTGTACCTTAAACGAAGTTTCTATTACAATTATCAATAGAAGATATTCACCTTATTGAAGAATGCTTTAAACAACTCCATATGATTCACAATAACACTGCAATCAATTAATTTGCACCCATATTCCTTAATGTTTTAATACCTTAAGTGATCAATATCTTATTGCACAGAGATACTGGGTTTTCAGACTTTGTCCATCGTCCGGATTCTAAATAACCAAGAAAAAAAAACACATTTAGGAAATTGGATCTGTTTCCATCCTCAGGTGAGGGAAGACACCTACTCTGTTGGGCCTTCCCTCACCTGAGGATGGAAACAGATCCAGTTTCCTAAAAGTTGTGTTTTTTTTCTTAGTTATTTAGGATCCAGACGATGGACAAAGTCCGAAAACCCAGTATCTTTGTGTGTTATACACCATCATCAGAACCCTATAGTATCTACAATATCTTATTATTTATTATTGTGTATTCATATGACACCTAAGATGGACATGATATTTTAACTGTTTTAACTGTCACACATACATTATGCATACATTTCTGTCAACGTGCATAATATATTCAGGATTCAGTTTCTCCACTTGTATTGCGAGCCTGAAGATAAAGAAAGAAGGTTGAAACATGCTGCCCATATACTGCTGTAACTGCAAATACAGTTACATTATAATGACTTTACCATTGTTGTGCCTAATATTTGCATACTATAGATAGCAAAGATACTTAAAAGAAGAATTGAAACGAAAATAGAGGATAGACTTGGAGAAGATCAGTTTGGATTTAGAAGACTAAAAGGAACCAGGGATGCAATTGGGATGATGAGAATTATAGCAGAATGAACTTTGGAGATAGATGAAGAACTGTGCGCTTGCTTTATAGACTGGCAGAAGGCATTTGACCGTGTAAATTGGACCAAATTAATGCAGATGCTAAAGGAAACATGTATGAATTGGCAGGAAAGGAGATTGATTAGTAAATTGTACATTGATCAGAAAGTTAGAGTGTGACTGGACAGAGAGGAGACAAGAAGTATGCAGATTGGAAGAGGAGTTCGACAAGGATGCTGTTTATCACCTATCATGTTTAACTTGTACAGTGAATGCCTTACTGAGGAAGCTTTGGATGGGCTTGGCGACTTCAAATTAGGAGGACAAATTATTCAGACTGTGAAATATGCAGATGATCTTGTGTTAATGGCTAAGGAAGAAACTGTGCTACAGGGCATGATTGATAGACTAATCGAAATTGGAAGGTGCTATGGCATGGAAATGAATGTGGAAAAAACAAAAGTAATGAAAATTTCAAGACAATCAACCCCAGTCACAATAAAGATAGACCAAAAACAACTGGAGAATGTGAAATGTTTTAAATATTTGGGTAGCTTGTTAACAGACGATGGAAGGTGTACTTGTGAAATTAAATCTAATTATGTGAGAAATGAAGAAGTATTATTTAGAGTCAGGGAGCAGAGAAATATCCTACATGATATAAGAAAATGGAAGGCTAATTGGATTAGTCATATCTTATGCAGTAACTGCCTTCTAAAAGAAGTTATTGAAGGAAAGATAGAGGGGCGGATAGACGTGACCAGAAGATGAGGAAGATGACGTAAGAAGATGCTGGATGACCTTGGGGATAGAAGAGGATATTCTCATATGAAGGAGAAAGCTCTAGATCGCATCAAGTGGAGGAACTGTTTTGGAAGGGACTGTGGACCTGTCGTCTGACAGATTACTGATGAATGAATGAATAGATCCAAGCATTAACCCTGGCATTATGAAGGGGAGTGGTCAGCTTCATGTTCCAGCCACTTTATACCTGGGGAGAGCCTGCTGTATCAGTTGTACAGGAGGTCTGATGAAAGACAGGGTTTGCTGGGAAAGAATGAAAGAAGACTAAAAAGAAAATAAGATTAATATAGTTCCCTTAATACAATTACTTCTTACCCTTTAAACAGAACCATGTTTAGGACATTGTAGCGTTTACACAGAACATTTCCAAGGATGCGAGTGGGGTAGCCACTTCTTATCTGATAGGCTGAAAGGAGCAGGTAGAAGCACTTGACCATGTACCACATCTGTGGTGGCAGTTCTGCACTGAATTGTCTACAACAGAACATCCAGCATTAGTTGAATATATTAATTTTATACACTAAACTGACACACCTCTAAAATGGAGTAAGATGAATGACAAACATAATCTGCTTAAAAAAAATTTGAAATTCCAAAACCACCTCCAAATTTTCCTTAACATTCTAAATGTCTCTACAATTCAAAGATTTTAAAATTTTACATACACACATGCAAAAGAACGTTAATAACGATTTCTTAAGGTTTAATAAGTCAAGACTTATGAAAAACCATATTTTTTTCCTTATCAAAATCATAAGAACCATGATTTATTTAATCCGTCTTGCAGTGCATACACTCATTTTTCTCCTTCTCTCCCTCGCACTACATGTTTCGGCATAATAATGCCATCTTCAGGTGCTAAGAACCAAATGAGTGCATCTGGTTGTTTCTAATAATAATTAATATGAGTTCTGATGAAAGATACATTTCCTGGTATACTATAAAGAATTACTAGCTAATGTTTGACTTGTCACATTACTAATAAAAAAAAGAAAAAATATTTTTGAACGTCTAATTTTAACTCCTAAGGTGTACATACAAGGGGGGACCCAAAAATAACCGGAATTTATTTTTGTTATTTTTTATTTTTGCATTTTTATTGAACTGTATATTAGTCCCCTTCAAAGTATTGTCCATATGCATTAATGCACTTGTCCCAACGCTTTTGCCACTGCTCAAAACAGTGCTGGAATTCTTGAGGCTGGATACTGTTCAAAGCCTTTAGCGTGTTTTCTTTGACTTCATCCACATCACGGAATCGCTTTCCTTTCAGACTTCTCTTCATCCGTGGAAACAAAAAAAAGTCCGACGGAGCCAGGTCGGGTGAGTAAGGTGGATGAGGCACAATCACCATGTTGTTGCTTGTCAAAAACTGTCGGACCGTCAAAGCTGTGTGGGCTGGAGCATTGTCGTGGTGAAGCAACCAGTTCCCATTTCTCCACATTTCGGACCGTTTTCGTCGCACACTCTCTCGTAATCTTCGTAACACATCCAGGTAAAAATGTTGGTTCACTGTTTGTCCTGGCGGAACGAACTCTTTTTCATGGACAATGCCATTCACATCAAAAAAACAAATCAACATTGTTTTCACATTGGATCGCACTTGACACGCTTTCTTCGGTCGTGGTGAAGTTGGAATT